CATTGTCAGGCCTGCATGGAGAAAGGGGAGAGAAGTAACAGAGGGCTGCCCTCCCCCCTGCCCTCGCCGCCTGTGACCTCTCTCTCATTGCCCCCAGTGAACACCCGGGCTGGGGTCTAAGTTCACCTTGATTCCAGCCGCCAGTGGTCTCCGCAAGCACAGGACCTGGAGGCCAATACAGGGAACTCAGTGTCCTCCTGCCTCTCCAGACACTTCTGTCGTGTCTCCTCCTCAGGCTCCTCCTTCTGTCCCCAAACGTCAGCTGTGAATCTCTTCTCCTCCCCTGCCTTTCCCAGGACTCTGTCTACTCTCTGAGTGCCCTCCCCAACCGGGACCTCCTGAGCTAATCAGAGGCGGGTTCAGACCCCGTTTATCCAAACTAAGGTCTTTCTCTCAAATCTGCTTCACCACCTAACCAGGCAGAAAAACCTAGGATTGATGCTGATACTCTACACCCAGCTTGCAGACAAGTCCTTTCCAGTCTGACTGCTGAATATTTCTCTCACTATCCTCACTACTTACTAAGTCCAGCCTTCTGCCTCCTGCTTTGGCCCTGCAGAACCCAGGACTAGAGCTCCCTGCTTCCATACTCTACCCTCCAGTCCCCTCTGCACCCAGAGCACAAAGTGCTGAGAGCCTCCCTGCCTTTCTCCCCTTACCTTGACCCTGAGATCCAACTTTCCATGACAAGCCCTGCCTCTACACCCTCCCACCAACACCACCACCATAATGCAACGCCAGTGTGGTCTCGTGGCCCATCCTGGTCCTCTGATTCCTGAGCAGAGATACCAGAATCTTCTTCAGGCCTAGCTCTGACCGAGATCTCTTGACATCACCTGAGACCCACCTGTCTCCCTGCTGAAGCCCTAACTCCCAATGTGACTGTCTCCCTGCTGACCCACCTGGCTCCCTGCTGACCTCGGAATGACCTACAGACATTTGTTGTTTGATCTTGAAGTACCCAGGGCCTAGCTCACACAAGCTACTGACAAATGCTTGCCGAACTTGGACTGATTTTCCTCCATGGATTGCCCTATTTTGAGAGACCTTTTTTTTTTTTTTTGAGATCGAGTTTTGCTGTTCCCAGGCTGGAGTGCAGTGCACAATCTCGGCTCACTGCAACCTCTGCCTCCTGGGCTCAAGTGATTCTCGTGCCTCAGCCTCCAGAGTAGCTGGGATTACATGCGCATACCACCATGC